TCGGGGAACATCTAGCTCAATTGGCATAACACAGTTTATAAAGAAAATGTTCTACATTCTTCCTTGGTGAGTAGTGTCTGGGGTCTTAAAAGCCTGTGAGTAGCCATCTAAGATACTCCACTGGTCTCACCCCTTTGGTAGCAAGGGATTACAAAGAAAACTATACACAAGGGAAAGATTAGTCCAAAGGACTAATGGATGACAGCTACCATGGTCTCTACCAGACTGAATCCAGTACAACTAGATGGTGCCCGGCTATCACCACTGACTCCTCTGATGGGGATCACAACAGAAGGTCCAGGACAGAGCTGGAGAAAAATGTAGAACAAAATTCTAACTCACAAAAAAGACTGGCCTGACACACACTGGAGAAATCCTGAGAGTATGGCACCTGGACATCCTTTTAGTTCAGTAATGAAGTCATCCTTCAGCCAAATATTAGGCAGCTCTATAAAATAAAATGAGACTAACGGGGCACAACAGTCCAGGGACAAGGACCAGAAGGGAGGAGGGGACAGGAAAGCTGGTAATAGGGAACCCAAGGTCGAGAAGGGACAGTGTTGACATGTCGTGGAGTTGTTAAGCATTGTCATAAAACAATATGTGTACTAACTGTTTAGTGACAAACTATTAGTTCTGTAAACCTTCATCTAAAGTACAAAAAAAGTTAAAAAAATATTTAAAAAAGAGACATGTTAGTGGACCTTATCACTTCATGAACTCTGAGTCTGAGGAAAAAAAAGTTTGCTTGGATCCTGTCCCACTCCACCCAATTATGACCCCCAGACAGCAACTGTGGGTTCCTTTCCTGTTTGCATGATTCAGAGGTCACAGTGTCTAGGGGCTTAAAAAAACAAAAACTGAACCTGTTGCCGTCGAGTTGATTCCGACTCATAGTGACTTTACAGGACAGAATAGAACTTCCCCATACAGTTTCCAAGGAGCTCCTGCTGGACTTGAACTGCTAACCGTTTGGTTAGCAGCCGTAGCTCGTAACCACTATGCCACCAGGGTTTCTTTCTAGGGGCTTAGGATGTGACAAAAATTTGTGGTGAAAAATGAACAAAAGATAAAGGATCTGAGCCCAGCTGGACCCCTGGAAAATTATACAGTCTTTGCCAAAATAAAATAACCTTGGAATGGCAAGAATTACAGGCAGAGTGACAAAGCAATGAGAAAGAAAGTCGGAGATATTACTAGTCCTCCCCCAAGTCTTAAAATATGACAATCATATAATCTTGCATTAATATGTAATGTTTACAGAGAGCCTTCACATATATCATTCATGCTGCTCTCATGACAACCAAGTGAGGCAGGTAATCATAGTCATTCCTGTCTTATGGAGGGGAAACCTGAGGCTCATTGAGATAAAGGAAGCCCAAGGTCACACACACTATATGCTGGGATCTGTGTAATCTGATAACTACACCCACTCTCCCATAGGGCACGTCTGTCCATGTCTCTAGGGGTTAGCTTCATTCTGGGTCCCTGACATTATCTAAGAAAAACTAGGGGCAAAATATTCAACGAAGAGGCACAGTCATTTGTAATGACTCAAGGTCACTTCCTAAGTCCATCTGATGGTCTGCTTACACTTTCACTATGATTCAAATTTCTTTCATACAGACATCTCCCTCTGACCAATATGTACTCATGTCTACACGCAAACACTGGAAATGATAAGAGAAAAAACTGAAAAAACTCAACCACCTCAAGAAATATTTATGGCACATTCACCATGTGGCCAGCCATGTGCAGGATGATGGAGTTGTATGCGTGGAGAGAGAACATAGCTCCTTGTCTTAAAGAACTTAGAGTCTAATTAAGGATACACAACTTCTATGGTAAAATGACAATAGGACCCTTGGGAACTCAGTCACAAAGCCTGTAGATTCTATCTACCATCTCTCAAATCAGTCACTGCTCACTCCACTGTCACCGATTTGGTCAAGCTTCACTTGGTTAATTCCTACTCCTCCTCCTGGTATCAGCTTCAGGAAGCTCCCATGGCATGTACTAATTCCCATCCTTTGTCCACAGTAGATACCGTTCCTGTGAGATTTCCCAATAGCTGCATATGCTTCTGCTCTTGTACTGACTAAGCTGTACTAAACGTATGTCTGTCTCTCCCACTGAAAAGTAAGCTCCTAAAAAGAAGCAGATGTGATTTTTACATTTTTTAATTCCTTGTATCTAGTTCAGAGCTGGACCTATAGTGTGATAGCTCAGGGAGGAGAGAGATGATTGAGAGCTAAGGTGGCCAAGGAGGTCAAGTGAAAGTGGGCTTGAGTCAGATAGAAATCATATTCACAGTGGAAGTAACTACTTGAGCAAAAGCTCGGAGGAGGGGAGTGATATGTCTGGAAGGAAGGTCCTGAATGTCAAAAAAGGGATGGACTAGGAGAAGGTAAAAATAGAAATCAAACCAAAGAGGAGTTTATCCTATACAGACTCCCAGAAAAAAAAGAAAAACCAAAAACATTGGATATGGGCTTAATTGAAAAGGCAAAAGCCTGTGATGAGACTTACATTCCATTCAAATGCTGCAATGGCTATGCCTGAAGCTGCTCCTGTTCCAGCCGGCCCCATAACGTGGCCACTGCCGATGTTACTGGCAAAAAGGGAGGCACCCATCTGGAATCCAAGAGAAAAGACTAAGATCAGAGATGAAAGACTCAAATCAGAATTCTTGAAAACAGGTAAATGTTGAGATGCTTCAATTGCTACTCCTTAGGGCAAGAGGTGGCAAACTATGGCTGTGGACTAAATCTGCCCTTCACTTGTTTGTATGTCCCCTAAACTAGAAATGGTGTTTACAGGTTTGAATGTTAAAACAAAACCAAAACAAACAAATAATCTAGGGAGGAAGAATACTTTGAGAAACGTGAAAATTATATGAACTTCAAATTTTATTATCCATAAATAAAGTTTTACTGTAACACACTCACATCCATTTGTTTATATATTGACAACAGCTGTTTTTGTGCTAGAATGGCAAAGTTAAGTGGTTGTGATAGAGTGTATGGCTCGAAAGCCAGCTTACAATGTGGCACTCTACAGAAAAATCTTGCCAACTGCTGCCTTAGGGGATCATTGGCCTATCTACCTCCAACTCTCTGTTTAGCCTGTCCATGCTTAAGACCTTCCAGACCTCCTATCAGCCCCGGCTCTTCTGATCAGCCTCAAGAACCCCAAAGCTAGGGAAGAATAGTGCTTCTTTCCATCCTCCTGGCCCTAGGATCCTCTTCTCATCCATCACTATTTCCACACATCAAGTCTTAAGTCTTTAGATCAAGAGAGATCTCTTGAGTGGGCACTGATGATCCCCAGTCCTGACAGACCTGAACTGGTGTGTGGGACCCCTGTAGTGCACTCTCCTCAAGTGCACTGCTTTCTGTTCCCACCTTTCCAGCCCTTTGTAGAATCACTTTTTTTGTTCAGACATTTGGGGCCTGGAGATGGGATAAAGTTTTTTTGTGGCTGTATGATTTGTTCAGCTCTGACTATTTCCAAAAAATAATCCTAAACAGAAAGACAAAGATGGTAATGTCTGATTGGATACCCCAATACAAATCCATTTCAAGCCTTCAGTTGGTCACTGGTTGTCCCCTTTAATCAATCTGGTCAGATCATTTCCCAATATCTATATGTTTTCATACTATATGGACAATGAATTCAGAAGATCTGTGAATGAGGCACTTACAATACTGTAAGTGATTCAGAGGAGAAGATGCACCCTCTGCTGCAACAGGGGGACAGGAGGGCAGGAGAAGGCCAAAACCCAGCAAGGAAAACACCAAATGGGCAAGAGTCAAAGAGGCTTCAACATTAGCATCATCACAGGGAACACACAATCCATTACCAACTAACTCCACTCAATACGAGGATTAAAAGTTCAGGTGAAGGCTGGAGTGAGCTGGGATGCTTCTCAGATGAAGGGCTTGTGCTGTGTGCTGAAAGAGGACAGCAGAGGGGGGGGGCTAATACAGATAAGAGGGGTAGCATTAACTCAGGCTTGGGAACAAAGAAAGAATGTGCTGGCATACTATGAAGCTAAAGCAGAAAATTCTTGATGAGGAACAGGAAAAATGAATTTGAGGGAGAGCTAAACTAGGGTCCTTAAATGTCAGACAATCAGCTCTCATAACTGGTGACAAACTATAACTTACTGAAACTACAGGGAAGAGCCCTGAGGTCAGGATTTAGGAAAAGAGATATTAATAAGTAGGTAACTAGTGTAGTTCAGAAAATATCACCAGTCCCCATGTTTCCTTTATTCACTCTTACATATACACAGGAAATTTAATTTCAGGAAGCCTTGGCCCACTCACCGGCCACCAGGCCACATCTCGACCAGCCAAGAAGAACCCTCCAATAGTGCCCCGGTTGGTCCTCAGCATGGCCTGAGCAGAAGGGAAGACAAGTGAGGGTTAAGCCGAACACATTTACTAAGGGTCCCAGGTGCTCTGTCCAGGGTGCTGACAGAGGCGACAGCTTCAGCACTTCTAAAGAGAGAATCATTTTCTGGAAGCTGTGATATAACTGAAGTCCTGCTTAAGGACTTCAAAAAACTATAGTTACATAAAGGAGGAGGAAAGAAGGAACTTGTGAAATCTTATTCATCAACTGCAGTCCTAAGTGCTCTGGTTATTTTTATTTACTCAAACAATGTGATGGGCTTGAAAGAAACTTTACAGGCTCAATCTCATTACCAAAAAGAAAGAACAAAAGTAAATGACCTAAGGGTCCAACTCACTAAGTTAGAAAGTGAGCAAACAACAAAAGGAAGTAAAATGAAAGAGATGATAAAAATAAAATCCTTATTCATTCATGCCAGTCACTGAGAATGCCAAACAGAGGAAGTCTGATGTTCCCAGTGCTGGCTCTCTTCAAAACAATGGGGTTGTTAGGAGAATAAATTAACTCACACAGTTCAGTATAAACCTTACTTATGTCACACACACACAAATGTCTTTGATACAAAGACAGTGAAATTTGTGAAAGCTGTCACGTTTCCTCAGCTATGTCACTCAACACGCCTCCCTCCATGAGATGCCTTCCCCCATGCTTCGTGCCTACCCCAAAGACCTGCTGAGCTCCTGCATACCCACAGCCCAACTGCTATCACTACCACCAAATAGATGACAATGACAGAGGTGTCAACAGCGTTCTGGATGCGCTATGACATCGCAGGCTTCTCTGGAGCTCCAGCTGTAGTGCTGTGGCTTAATGTGCTGGCCATGGCTGCAGGTGGTGCTTTTCCCTCTCAGGGTGGCCCTTTTCTTATACAAACTCTGGGTTAATGATCAGCCTCAGGCAGGTGGGGCACGATATCACAGCCGGTGCCTGGCATGGGGACCTTTAAACCTGTCCTCTGAAGCAAGACTCTGAGACTCTGGCTCTCCAGTGGTCAGTGTTGGCCCAGGCAGAGGCTGAGAATGAGGCATGAAGGTCGAGAAATGGGATGAGAATTGGAGGGAGGGTGCAGGGTCACTATGTGGATACACAGGGCCTTTATGAAGACTTAACCAGGTCGAGCGAGGATTAGAGAGAGACAAAGGGAGACATAGAAGAGAAGGACAGAAGTGAAAGGGCCAGAAACCAGCCAGGAAGGGACAGAGGGCAATGGTCCCTTATGGATCAGATAAGATTCCTGAACCAGAAGTTATATCCCTTGAAAATGAAGTTATTTATGCATTTCATGGGTTCTAAAGACCCATATTTTTCTGTAAGGAGTAACTTGAAATGGGCTTCATATGACACATCAGGACTGTGGTGACCTATGCAAGAAAAGGAAGTGACTCTAAGAGGACAGACATGGCAGGTGGTTGGGTGGGGGGGAAGCGATGGCAGAGCTGTTGGTGGCTAGATCAGAGGTTTTGACCTGAAAGCATGACTTGGAGTTCATTACCCCAGGGCAACAGCCAGAAGTTCAAGTTAATCCCTGACAGTCTTGGTTTGCTCCTGTGGCCAATCTGAAAGGTCTGACAGTTGATCATTTGCCTTTAAGAATACCAAGGGATCCAGGGTCATTCAGGACACATCTTCCTCCTCCTGAGAACCAGACACATCACTAACCAAGTGCTGGGAGTCCTCAAAGCCCACCTGGAAGGGTAGAAACTCCTGTGAAAATGAAGACAGTCTTGCCATCCATTTTATCAGAGAGAACCACCTAGTTCCAAAATAAGGAGTACAGGCTCCAGTGCTGACCCTTATCTTCCCCGAACCTTACACCACCTGCAACTGTAAAGTGGGGATAGTAATGCACTCCACCTGGATGGAGACCACTGAGCCTAGTCTTTATGAATCAATTATCACCAGTCAGGACATACCAAAAATTAAGGGCTGTGGTCATATGATCTCTAAGGAGAGGGATCTAAGGTTAATTCTCACAATGTTTCAGTAGAGTGCTGCTGCTTTGAGGTGAAGAATGCCCCCAGGATATATGTTTATTCCCACTTTGAGACAGAATCAAATTCTGAGACTGTCAGTGAAGAACATCTCCAGAAAGAAAGGTGGACCCAGACAATTACCTTCCAATTGAGTTCCATCCTAAGAGCCATGGTGTAGCTTCTGCAACCACACCAAGAAAGCAAGAATTCAAATGGGAGGAACAAAATGCTAATAAAAGGCCAGACTTAGTTGGAAGTAGAGCGGGTAATTATAAATGAATGATGCCATCTTTTGTTCATTCCGACAAACATTACTCAGTGCCTAAGTCATTGCAGGCACAGTAAAGACCATAATGAATGAATCTAAAACAGGGAAATTCATGATGGACATTTTAAAAGAAGCCCTTATGTCCCTTGGGGTCAAGATTATCTCTTTCTGCACTGGTCTGGGGTTGCTGCATGGGTCCCTTCCTTTCTGGGAAGTACTTCCACTCCCAGGCCCCTACTTCAAAGATCAAACACCCAGCACAGGTACCCCATCAAGCTCCCACCCTCAACTTCAATGACCTGTGCAAGAAGTTCATCAGTTTATTCTTGTGCCGGGAAAAAATTGAGAGGGATATGATGCGGAAAATTTCTTGATTCTAAAGAGAAAGGGCAGAAAAGGAGTTGGAAGTGGCTATGGAGACTAACCACCATCCATCTGTCAGTTTGTTGTATTGTGGTGGTTTGCATGTTTGAAGCTCTGCCACCAGTACTTTAAATGCCAGCAATGTCATTCATGGTAGACAGGTTTTAGCAGAGCTTCTGGACTAAGACAAACTAGAAAGAGAGAAAACTTCTGAAAATGAGCCAATGAAAACCCGATGGATCATGACAGAATATTGTCCAATATAGTACTGAAATAGAGGCTTCCTTGGTTGGAAAGCACTCGAAATACGCAGTGGCAGCAACAATGCACTCAAGCATACCAATGATTGTGAAGATGGTGCAGAACCAAGCAACGTTTTGTTTTGGTGTACATGCAGACACCATGAGTCAGAGCTGACTCAACAGCAGCTAACAACAACAATCATGGAGACTAAAACTCTCAAATAGTATTTAAGGATTACAAACAGTGCTGATGCACTGAAACCGCCTGAGGAAAACATGCATTGAACATCGCGGGGCTGCTGTTTCTTAGTTTACCTTCTTCTAGCAGGACTAAGTGGACTTTATTCTTGCACATCTAGTATCTACAGCTGACTGTATCATACTGACTTCAAATACATGATTTAACAGCAAAATAATGATTTTTGTCCAAATAGCCTGTAATTACACCTGTACACCTTTATCTCACTGGGCAAAATTTACAACTGGCTTGCTTCCCTTCCACACCACAGAATGAGACTAAAGGAAGGCAGAGTAAAGAATCTGTCCTTCGTGAGCACAGTCAGCGGCAGAAATCAAGATTCAGGGAAATACGTGTGGCAGAAGACAACCACGGCCAGCAGGACAATGCTGTTGATGTTCACTATCACCCACCACAAAGTCTTCTCAGAGGTGTCCATCAGCTTCTGCTTCATTGCTGCCTCCTCTTCTTTGGTCATCTTGGGGCCTGTCTTAGTTATCTAGTGCTGCTATAACAGAAATACCACAAGTGGATGGCTTTAACAAAGAGAAGTTTATTCTCTCCCAGTCCAGTAGGCTACAAGTCTGAATTCAGGGCGCTGGCTCCAGGAGAAGGCTTTCTCTCTCTGTCAGCTCTGGAGGAAGTTCCCTGTGATGCATTAGTTTTCCCTTGGTCTGGGAGCATCTCAGCACAGGAACCTCAGGTCTAAAGGACGTGCTCTGCTCCCAGCACTGCTTTCTTGCTGGTATGAGGTCCCCAATTCTCTGCTTGCTTCCCTTTCCTTTTATCTCTTGTCAAATAAAAGGTGGTGCCACACCCGAGGGAAACTCCCTTTACATTGGATCAAGGATGTGACCTTAGTAAAGGTGTTTCAGTCCCGCCCTAATCCATAAAATTACAATCACAAAGTGGAGGACAATCACACAGTGCTGGGAATCATGGCCCAACCAAATTGATACACACATTTATTGGGAGACATAATTCAGTCCATTATAGGGCCCTTCTGCTGGTCCAGCCCACAGAACAGGTCATAGGTCCACTTGAAGCATCCTTTATTCTCCATGGGAGTTAAAGAATTATTGGATACAGGAGGAGAAAGGAACATAATAATTTTCCATATGAACAGTCATTCCAGAACACTACAGAAATGCTTTGCATCCACTTTGCAGAATCTGCTCATCTCTCTTGACTGATGGAAATGATGCAAAGTACTAAAAGGAACTTAACTCATTGTAAGAACATGGAATAGATAAACTCTTCATCCTCATGATCAGTAAGACTAACTTTTGAACATATTGTTCCCAATGCAAATGCATTTCAAAGTAGATCAGTCACAGAAGCCATGGTATAATTTAGTGAAATCATACAAATGAGGCCTAAAATCAAACATAAAAAAAGAAAAAAAGACTTATGAGAGAAAAATGAGCAATGAGCTGGGGAACTCTGACATAGGAAGGACATGGAAAACCCACCTCAGAAATACATAAACTCATATCTGTTTGCTACATCTCTGGGAAGCGATGAGACCAGCATGACTCAGGAGTGCATTGGCTACACCTAGAAATTCCAGAGTTTCACAACAGACACAGCCAGGCAGCAAGGATGGTCTGAAGATGCCACAGCAATACATTAGGACAGCTGCAGAAACAGCAATGATCAACACTTTCAGAGCTAAAGACTTTCTGTGGTGTGGCACCATAGCTGAATCAACTCATTTAGTTTGTTCTATCACTCAAAGCGGATGCCTATGACGGGAACTGGTTCTCTCCTCTGAGCCCAGTGCAGCATGGGAGGTAGATAGACCTGGGATCCACTTTCAGCTCTGCCAATCACTGGCTATGAGGTCAAACCCTCTTGTGTTTTCAGAACCATGGTCAGGGGCTCTGGGCTCTGCACACACCCCAGTACTGTATTGAAAACAGTCAGAAATTTAGAACTGGAAAGGACCTTATAGAACAAGATCACTTACTCCTCTGTCAGAGTTGGGACTAATTCCCATATTTTGGCTTTGGCCAAACTGCCATACTCTGGTCCTCAATTTTAGAATTTGACTAGTAATAACTACGTCACAGAATTACTGTGACCAGCTCTGCCACTCCAGGTGAAGTTCTGTAGGTAGAGGTTCATGGAAAACATATTACATACTCATATTCCACATTTCTCACCATACAGTACATTTCCAAGGAAACAGTGCTATGAAAAGTTAGACCCCAGGCCATCTTCCCAGGCAGACAAAGTCTGTGGAAAAGGATCCAGGCCTGCTGTTGACTTTTTACTCACAGGCCCACCCTAGGATCTCAAGTCAATATGCTCACATTACATATTCCTCAGATAGTTTGTGAACTTATTTTGACAAATGCATCTGTAATACTTTATGCACTGTCTATATCAAAACTACTATGTGCCCCGTGAGATCATCAACTGAGCATATTCTACTCCTGCATACAGGTTAGTCTGGGTCTTCCTCATGGCTTCTTCACAAGCTGTCCTTTTAAAACTCCATATCACTCCTGTGTGCCCTCCTCTTGAGGCTATGCTGTTTATATGGTTGATTTTCTTAAATGAATTCCATCCACGTTCACTCCTCATGTATTCAGAAGAGCACTGAGGACTCTGACATATGGAGCAGACAGTGGCAATTTGCTTTCCATCATATCCAGGAAGCTGTCTTAGTAAAGTGTCATTGTGATTCACAGCCATACAGATCACAGAAACTTGACTATTCAATAACCCTGTCAT